CATACTGATGTCCTTGCCACAGATGCGAAATCTTGGTTTCCAGATCAGTTTATCTCCAGGACAGGCATGGCTGAGCAGCTCCATTCTGGGAGTGAAGAACGTGAAGCTTAGAGTTGCTCCAAGCTCACATCTTGTTCTTGATCTACTTGATCTATGCCGTCTTATGTGGAACGTGCGGTTCGCCATCAAAGACAAGGTCAGCTTTCTCACCTACTTCTCGCACTACGAGTACGGCTTCCATCAGACAGCAGCAGGAGGCTTTTCTTCAGAAAAGGAACCTGTGTCTCTGGGAAGCTCTCCTTTAGGTGAGGAACCTAGGGGACATGCGTATGCTATGGATGATGAGTGGGTGATAGACGAGACAAAGATGGAACTTGCACGAATCCACAAGAAGATGAGGAAAGAGAAGTACGTCCCGAAGACGAGTACCTCACCCATTCCTCTGGAGTTCCTGGACACCAAGCGCAAGACGATCATGGAGTTCAAGAAGGACAAGGTCGAAACTCAGGAAGACGACTGGAAGAGTTCTGAGCTTCCTACTTCGAGAGCTTCTGAGTGCTGGAAGGGTAGGACAGTTTTTAGGATTTTGCCTGGAGGACTTGAGAGCCGAACTTCGGTTCCAGCTAAATCTGTAGATCCCACTAGGAAGAAGTCGGGGTCGCCTGAAGACCTCATTAACAAAGGCAAGCCTGAAGACAGCTCAGTTAAACCAAAGACAACTGGAAGCTTTCCGTCAGGAAGGGAACCAGGAAGAGGGGAACCAAAAGCCAAGGGAAGCGGTTCGTCAGAATCGGTACCCAAGGTAGGTTCCCATTCTGCTCCGGCAGATGATCCAGATCTTCAAGATTATGAGCCTTCCGAGCCCGAGGCTCAGAAGAATCTTCCTGAACAGCCAAGAGTTCCAAGGGAATCACCGCTAGAACCTAGGAGGATTTCGCTTCCGTTGCCAGGTCAAGAGGTGTCTAGGGCCTCTCCTCAGTACAAGCGAATGTTGGAAAAATTGAACAACGATGTTGAGTTGTACAAATTGCATGTGAAGCATTACCACATGAGTTCAGCTCAGTTTCGTCGCAGGACCAGCATGCTTGGTTTGCCAGGAGAGATCTACGACAAGTACGACCGCATTGTCAAGGGTTGCCGAATATGTAACACCTCCGTGCCTACGCCTCCGCGAGCCAGAATCGCAGGGCTTCGAGCGTCATCTTTTGGAGACCTCATTTTTGTTGACCATGAGGAAATCAAATTTGGCAATAGTTCTTACCTTGCCTTGGTCATTATTGATGGTGCTTCGAATCTTCTGTGGGCTACGGCTTTGAAAAGTTTGGAAGCGACCGAAACCCTAGGAGCTTTTAGGCTGTGGACCGAGGAGAACAACTGCATTCCAAAAGGAATCGTTGGTGATCAAGCTTTCTTTACCGAACCTTACATGGAATACTATAAGTTTCATGGCATCGCTCCTTATCCATGTGGACCTCGCACTCCTTGGCCGAATCGTGCTGAGACAGCTGTGAGGCTGTTTAAGCGCACTTGGTCGATCATGGCCAAGGCCTTCGCAGACGAAGGTTATGCTGAGAAGGTCACTGTTCGTCATGCAGTCAAGAAGGTGGCTTGGGCAAGAAATTGCCAACTAACTGTCTCAGGCTATTCTCCTTTAGAGATAGCCACCGGCAGACGACCACCTGACTTGTTTGATGTGGAGACTAGCACTCCAGAGCAGTTGACCGCAGAACCTTCAGACGAAGATAGGACCACATTGGAGCTTCAAAGGATTGCTATGAGAGCTCATCAAGAAGCTCGTCAATCACTTGATCTTCGAAAGGACCTTGCGCGTCGTGTCATGCCGTCCGACGGACCCTACAGTAAGGGTGATCGAGTCTTTGTCTGGCACAAGATGAGTCAAGGAAGAAGTCCGAAGGCATTTGGGTCAGGGGAATTGTTGTGTCACAAGAAGGCGCCATGGTGCTTGTGGAAATTCACAAGTCTGTGCTTCGTGTGAACCAGTCCAAGGTTCGCAGGGATCATGATCCATGGCATGATGTGGCGATTCCTCTGAAGTCTGATGAACCACGAAGCTCCTCTTTAGAGGAGGTACGTGAGTCGATACGCTCGTCTTATGACGAGGAAATCGATGGCGTTGGTGATCGTCTTTTAGACGAAGCTTCTTCTAGATTTTGTCTTGAACATGAGATTTGTTACCATACCTTCTCGGCTGGTAAGAGCGATTTCGTTGAGATCACACCTCACCTGACAGGACTCACTGCGTGTGCCAGTCGTGTTGGCTTTGATGTGGGTGAACCTGTGTTGTTTGGTGAATGGTCTGCGAAGAAGATTCAGTCTTCGATCGCAGAGGCATGGAAGTTGATCGAGAACGCTCAGCCGAATCACATTGTGATCCATCCAGTCATTCCCAAACAATGGCCAAGGAAGGCCTCAAGAGCCTTCTGGCATTTTTGTGCCGAAGTTGGTCGTTGGCAGGATGGCAGAGAAGGTTGTTTTGTGA